AACGGAAATATAAAACGTAAAATCTCTTTTTTTGGATTTTTGATTTATAATACACATTTTTCAAATGCAAAATAGAAAGTAAAATAATAAAAAAAAACTCGATATTACTATACAAAACTAGAAGGTAAAAGACGACATAAAATGAAGAATAGACTCAAAACATAAAAAGAAAAATCTTTAAGCAAGCTCCTGAATGAGCGATCTTGACTGGATGGTCCTAAGGCGTCTGTCATGCCCAAACTCCAGTAAGTAGATCCATACCTGTATGAGAAAACTGAAACCAACACTATGTGAGACAATAACATTCCCTACTAGACTTATGCAAGACATGGTTGAGACTAGTTTTCTAAAATTAATCTATGTGGCTAAAAGTAGCTAAAAATACAAGAATTGGCTAAGACTCCGCGAAGCCAAGAACCTAAATTCACTAGGAAGGTCGGATCCTATGTGTATTGCCTATATATCATGCCCCGAAAGGCGAAAATCAGGTATGCGTAGTTCGGACTAATTGGATACGGGTGAGAATTAAAAAAAACAATTGATTTGGAGAAAATATATTTTGTCTTTTGTTTTGAAAAATGACGAAACATGTAAACTCTTTTTGGATTTTTTTTTCCACTTATTTTGATTTTTTTTTTGATTTTTGGAAAATGATTGGAAAGTGCAAAATCTTTTTGAATTTTTCATGTTTTTCTTTCTTAACAAAAATATGACATAAAACATAACTGGGCCCTACTTGCTTTATTTTCACACTTCACCCTCTCTTTTTTCTTTTTTTTTTCTTTTTTCATTTGCCCTCAGCTATCATTGGTCCGCCAAATGACCCTTTAACTCTTGAAAATTGCAACATGTAGCACATAGGATGCATCAGGATGGTCTTTTATTTTTGGGCACACCTGTCCTAGACGGACCCAACCGCTGTGTTGAGTCCCCGAAGTCAGATGCACGTGATGCAAGCAAACGTTCCTACTAGGGATCCGGCATGAGGCTGAGTTATTCTAAGTTCAAAACCAGGGTATGTTGTTCTAAACTTGTGTACCCGAGCAGACAACTCGAGCAGAGGGGGGGCTACGTATCGGAAACCAAAAGGCCATCCGGCTGTGTAACTTGTCCGAGCCTCTTCCTAATTTAAGGTATGACACTAACAGAAGAGGAGTCACGCTAGCGTGCACATCTCCAAAGATGAGAAGAGAAGGGTTTCGTAGCAGTTTATATACAGTTCAAATAGTATCAAAGCGGTAAAAAGTGACATTTAGCACATTAAGCTCAAACACGTAAAAATCAGATAATAAATAAAGCCAATTATAACAGATATTCTAAGCTCAAATTCTGAATCCTGAACCAGAAGTTCTGGGTTCTTTTCCCCAGCAGGGTCGCCAGAGCTGTCACACCTCTTTTTTTACCACCCCCAGAAGGGTATAAGAGAGTTTTTTTCCAATTTAAGTGACAATTGAAACATGATTATTTTATTTAAAATTAAGAGTCGCCACTTGGGATAATTTATGGTGTCTCAAGTCACCAGTTTTAAATCCCGAATCGAGGAAAGATTGACGCTATTTTACAGTCCGCGAATACAGAAATCCGGGTAAGGAATTCTGTTAACCTGGAAGAAAGTGTTAGGTATTTCCGGGTTCCGTGGTTTTAGCATGGTCGCTTAAATGTTATTATTGGCCTAATTATCTGATTTTAAGACACTTTTAAATCTATGTGCATTTTTAACTATTTAGCCGCTTTTAATATTCCGGAACAATTCATGATCGTCATACACTTGTTTATTTTTGAAAATACATCGTAAACCACGCTACATGAAATGCACCCGCGGTTCACGGCATGTTTATTTAACATTGTTGGAAATTGGAGTTGGGTCACATGAAATGTACACCCGAAATTGGAAATTATGTATCACGACCATGCCACGGGAACCGTACCCATAGCCGTGATGATCCATTAATCGCGCCTAAAGTAAACTACGAGGTTTATGAATCATTTTCTAAACTACTTTGAAATTGCGCGTGAAAGGCCTGCTATTATGGAACGCTTTTGCTAAAAGAGATTTCATGCTCATATACTTTTTTAACTTTTATTTCATGTATTTGACCAAGTCCAATCCTAAAACATGAGAATCATTAATTACTAATGGGCTTTGGTCATTCCCCACTCCCACAAATCGAGAATATTCTACTTCTAAAAGATAATCACTCAATATTCCTAAAGTAACAAACAATGACTTCCAGAAATAGGAACCAAACGAGGAAAAAAAAGAAGTAAAAAAATGATAGAAAAGTTTTGCACTTATAATATGAATATTAGCTTAATACTAGCAGAAACTATTGAAGCAAAAATGACGTAACTAGTCCATACAATAAGCAAAACATCAAGTAATTGACCAAACAATTTAATAAAGTTCTTTTGGAAAATTTAATCTCAAATCTAAAGGAAAGTAGGAAAAAGCTTTCAAATAGCCTGTTATACGAACTTTTTAATCACTCATGCTCATTTCAGGCTTAAACAACACATGGGAAAGGATGAAGATATGGACCTTAAATAGAAGATTCCATCAAAGTAACTTTGTTTGGAAAAGTGCTTTGGATGGCAGAAATCAACAACCAAACAGAGCACTCACAAAAACTAATTAACAAGCAGTATCAACAAGAAATCACACACGTAAATTTAAAAGAGGGTAAACGAATAGAGAATAGAGAAGAATGGACCTCAGGAGTAAAATCTCTTAAATTAGTGTAGAAAAATCCGTAGATACAGAACCTCGGCTCTGAAAAATCAACCGAGAAGAGCAACACCAAAGACGATCCGTGAACCGTGATGGAAACACGAATGGCAACTTCGACTCAACGGCGTCTCAAGTCTCAATCAAACTCCATAATTGAATACTCACATCAAAAGGAAGAAACTAACAATAATATGTGTATATATTTTGGTATTTCTAAAATTCAATCACCAACTAACAGAAGCATTTTTACTTTTTCTTGATGAGCAGAAACAAAGCTTAAACAAGTAATCAAAAGACCAAAAAGAATTTCCCAAATCTCCGTCGATTTTCAACCTAAGCTCGAGTTTTTCCCCTATGTTTGTTGGACTGAATCGTCGTCCCCTCTCACTCTCGTTTTCCCCTCTCTTTGGACTCTTTTTTTTTTTTGTTTTCTGTTTTAAGCCGTTCTCTCTTTAGGATTTTTGGTTTAGCTTTGTCTTTTTAGAAAATAGATGCGTTGCTGAAAGTCAGCAAAAAAAAAAATCGATGTTCCTTTGTTAGATGCTTTTTCAGATTTTAGGCGTAGGTATCTAGGTCTAGAGTCTAGGTATTTGTAAGTTTTTTTAGGTTAAGGGTTATGGACCTAGAAATTATGGGTTTGAGAATTATAAGCTAGGTCAGGAAATTACACTTAAAAATGGGTCGTTTGAACCCTAATTTTATTCTTTCTCCGTGAACAAGACTAAAATACTACCTTATTTACTAATTAATCCTACTTAAATAAAATAACTATTAAAATAAGACTAATCGTTAAAACAAACCTATTTTTGGTATTTTCCAAGATTAAAAATGACTATAACATATTAATGAAACTATTTTTTTGTAATTTTCATTTTCTTGCAATAAAATAAAGTAAAAGAGTCAAAATTAATTGAAATAGCGATATTAGGCCTAAATTAAATATTTACATGCTAAAATATAAAAAATCTTAGGGAGGCTTAAAAATCACATGTCTACGTATATTAATATATTGTTATATCTAAATTTCTATATATGTAATATCGGGTTGGTTTGGTTTCGGTTTGACTTTCTTTAGTTAAAACCAAACTAAACCAATTATGGTCGGGTTTTTTTTCCATCACCAAACCAAATCAAACCAAACCATAGTCGGATTTTTTTCTCGGTTTGACTCGGATTATCGGGTTGGTGCGGTTTATCGGTTTCTTTTGTACACTCCTACTTGGAAGCAATGAATCGCAAGAATTTTCTCTTCCATTCTTCTTTAATCTGTATTTTAATGCTTTCAAGGTTTCAATTATTATCATGATTGCTAGCATCATTCTATTACCTCTAGTTTTTTTAAATATTCATTTTATTAAATAAAATTTCAATAATTTTAGGGTGGTTTTATTTGTTCATTTATTTATTTTTTACGAATAATGGACAAAACTGCCCTTGAATTATCAATATAGGTACAAAATTGTCATTCGTCCACCTATTGAGCCAAATTTTCCCTTATAGTCTTAGATTTTAGCTCAAATAACCTACCCTTAAAAATAACAGTCCAAAATTAATTGAAAAATATTAGAAATATGAATGATATGTCTCATTCTTATTGGGCGAATTTAAACTTCACCCAGGTCTGTCAAACCCACCCGTATAACCCGACCCATTGACCGACCCCTATGACGAAAAAATAGTTTGGCCCTTTACCGTATTTTTGGATATAGTTAGAACCTATAACTTATTATTTTCATGAAAGGGTGGTGAAATAGAACGGTATTAGCTTATTCTATGGTATGAATTTAGAGCAAAATGAATGCCAACTAAAAATGCTTATAAATTAAAATCCAACAGATGCAGCTACAAAACAGCATCTATCATTGATACACTGGAAGGAAAACTGTATCAGGTACATTTTATAAAGTTAACCTTCAAAATTTTAAGCGTTAAACAAGGTAAAAGTAAAATAAAATTGCCCTCCTTGTTTGGAAAGAAAATTATGCCATTGAGATTTTTCTGAGAAAAAAACAAAACGATATATTTGAGCCTCTTTGTTTGGGAAAATGATTATGACATATATATTTTTGGAATTTTTAATTCTTATACTCGTAAACTAGTAAATAAATGGTAAAATACGAAAGCCGTCTATCTTTATACAATTGGTAAAACAATCAAGAGAGTAAAATTAATACCAAAATTTCAACATCTTCTTGCCCAAGGACATTGTATAAGAAGGAATCCAAGAAAAAAAATCATGTGTATTGTGTAATAAATTTTGTTGACGAATTTTCAAAATGGCAAAGTTCGTCAATATACTCTTCGTTGTCGTCCTCCTATCTTTTATATCAGGTATACAACTATACATTATGTTTCTTCTCTTCCAACATTTGGACAATTATATCAAGCTACAAAAAAATCATTAATAATTATGTCTTAGTTTTATTTTACAAAAATAACATTTTTTTTGTTAATGCAGATGGGGGAATTATTGGTAAAGTTGAAGGGAAAGCATGTTCAGTTGACGTTGGCTTTAACATTTGTACCACTGCTCATGACAGGTGTCTGAAACAGTGCATTCAGGCTACTTTCTATCTGATTTACAAAGCATTGTGTCAAATAGCAAATGATGGTTCTACATATTGTGAATGCATATTTAATTGCATAGATGATGATAATAATACTAATAATCAGTTGATGGTTGCAAAATCACCATCTCCACTCATGTGATGTTAATTAGATTCGAATGCCTTTTAATTCTATTCATCAAGAGAGAAAAATGATCAACTAGAGCTTCTGATCTCAATTGTACTGTCTCGGACATATATAACAGTGGATACAATTTTGGTATTTTTAGAAAATAAATAAATTGATTCGCCCCAAACTACTTTTCTCTGCCTCTATTAGGGGTGTACATGGACGGGGTTAGTTCGGTTTTTATCAAAGCCAAACCAAACCAACTATATCGGTTTGGATTGGTTCGGTTTTGTCGGGTTTTCGAGTTTTTTTGTTACATGAATATTATTTCAATCTTACTTTGTTAAAATTATAGATAAAACTTTGATAAATAAATATATGTTTAGTAAATAAGGAAAAAATTGACAAACATATGATCTATTAAAATATTCTAATGGGAGAATTTTTTTAGTAACACATGATAGTTATTTTCTTAGTCGTCTAACAATAATTTTTCGTTAATTTACGCTTTCAAGGTTAATACATGAGAGGATCCCAAATATTTCTACATTTTCTAAAGAAAATTCACTATAAAGTCTTAAAAATATAAATAAAATTTATATATTTATATGTCGGTTTGGTTTGGTTTTTTTTATTCAATACCAAACCAAGTCAAACCAAACCTAGTCAGGTTTTTTAATCGGTTTGATTTGGTTTTTCGGTTTTGTGATGACCCAAAATGTCACCTTTAAATTAAATAACTATCTCGATATTTTTAAGACATTGAAAAGTGGTATCAATAATTTCTCGACTTGCGTGCGCAGTCCATATAATTTTCCGGAAGGGTTTTATGTGAAAAATAGATTAAATTGTGAATTAGAACTTTAAAACTCAACTGAGTTGACTTCGGTCAACATTTTTAGCAAACGAACCCGGATCCAAGTTTTGACCATTCCGGTAGTTCCGTATCGTGATTTGGGACTTGGTCATATGCCCGAAAACAAATTCGGAGGTCCCTAGCTCAAATTATCGCCATTTAACGGAATCTAGAAATCTAAGGCTAAAGATTTCTTAAGTTTGACCGGAGATTTGACATTTGAGCAAACGATCCCGGAATGGAATTTTGATGATTCCAATAGTTTCGTATGGTGTTTTGGACATTGGAGCATGTTCGGATTTCAATTTAGAAATCCGTAGGACAATTTGACGCATTTTGGCGAAAGTTAGAAATTTGAAGGTTTTTGAGAAGTTTGACCGAGAGTTGACTTTTTTATATCGGGGTCGGATTACGATTCAGGAAGTTGGAGTAGGTCCGTAATATCGAATGTGACTTGTGTGCAAAATTTGAAGTCATTCCGGAATGATTTTGGTAAGGTTTGAGACACTTAGTCTCTTTTAAGAATGCTTAAGTTGGAAAGGTCAACCAGATATTGACTTACATGTTAGAGGGCTTGGATGTGAGTTCCGATGGTTCGGTTAGCTTCGGGAGGTGATTTTTGACTTAGGAGTGTGATCGAAAGTTGTTTTGGAGGTCCGGTGTAGAATTAGACTTAAATTGGCGAAGTTAGTATTTTGGCGATTTCCGGTTGATAGGAGAGATTTTGATCCGAGGGTCGGAAGAGAATTTCGAGAGTTGTTGTAGCTTCTTTATGTCATTTCGGATGTGTGTGCAAAATTTCATGTCATTCGGACGTGGTTTGGTTGAGTTTTTGATCAAAAGAGTGATTTAGAAGATTTTGAAATTCTTAGGCTTGAATCCGATGCGAATTTGGTGTTGTGATGTTGTTTTGAGCGTTCCTAAGGTTGGATCAAGTTTGAATGATATTATGAGAAATGTTGACATATTTGGTTGAGGCCCCAGTGGCCTCGGGTGAGTTTCAGGTGGTTAAACGGACTATTTCATTTTTGGAAAAGTTGCAGACTTTTTTGAGCTTCAGCTGAGCATCTGAAAATTTCTGGTGCGAGGAGTCCATTTTGGAAAGCCCATATCATGCAATCTATAAGGAATAAGAAAAATTCCAAAACATAAAAGTCGTAGCCCTTGCATTCTAGTTTCCAGAAAATTAAACCATTCAGGATTTGGATATTCTATCAGAAAGTTATGATGGATCGAATATGGCTGGTGGATCAGTTTTGACGGAATGTTCTGATGCAATTTAGAAGCTCATATCTCGGAATATATAAGGAGTTATATGGTATACAACCTATCAAATGAAAGATCTTCGAGTCTAGTTTTTAAATATTTAAACCGTTTATCATTTGGATATTTTCACAAGAAGTTATAGGCGTTTTAACAAAAGGTGTACAATAAGGAAAATAGTAAGAGGATGTACAACCTGCACAACGCAAGGTACACCTCAATGAAGCCTGGGCAGAATGTTTTTAAGCCCTCTTGTCCGCGATTTGGATCCATTTTTCAGCCATAGTTGATCATTTTGAGAGCTTTTTGAAGGAGATTGAAGAGAAATTCAAGGAGAAACGTTTGGAGGTAAGAATTTCGGACCTAAAACTCGTTTATATTGTGAAATCCACCTAGAAAATCATTGAATTATTGCTAAAAATGGAAGAAATATGGTTTGGGATTTTGAGATTCTAATCGGGGATTTGGAGGACCATTTGGGGTTCGATTTGAGAACTTTTTGTATGTATGAACTCGTGGGGAGATAAGGAACCGATTAATGTAAAATATTCTGAATTTTGAAAAGTGGGCCCGGGGCTCGGGTTTTGCTAATTTCGAGAATTTTTGTATTTTTGATTGTTTTGATTGGGCATTGTTCCCTTATCATATTATGACATATTCGTTCTGATTTTGGATAGATTCGACGTACGTGGAGGCCAATTCGAAAGGCAAAGGCGTTGCGAGCTAAAGAAGTAGCTGGTTCGAGGTGAGTAATGAGTGTAAATGATGTCCTGAGAGTTTCAAACCCCGGATTGCACAACGTAGTGCTATATTGAGGTGAAACATGAGCTGGATGATGAGCGCGAGGTCTTTTACTACTGGGGATTGTGACTTGGTCCGTCCCGATTGATGATTTTACTGCGTATTTTACTGAAACTTATTTGTTATCATCGTGATTTGGGCTATTTGCCATATTTGGGTTTCGTGCTAATTATTTGAACCCTTCGGGGATTTTTATCACTATTTCCTCACTGTTTTGACTTGTATTTGAACTCAGTCCTGTTGACAACTATTGTTTTACAAACTCAATCACTTTTATACAGATTTGAAACTTAAATGATATTTCTAAATGATATTTTGGGCTAAGTGATATGAGGCCGAGGGCCTATGATACTTTATACGCCACGCGGTGGCTAGAGTGATGTGAGGCCGAGTGATATGAGGCCGAGGGCCTGAGATACTTTATATGCCGCACGGTGGCTTGAGTGATGTGAGGATATGCTGGGTGATGATGCCACGAGGTGGTTTGATATAGCGCTTGGCCGTAAGGGGCCCCTCCGGAGTCTGCACACTCACAGTGAGCGCGGGTACCCATTGTTCTGAGTGATTGGTACTATGCCCGAGGGGCTGATATGAGTGATTGTGAGGTAGCCCGAGGGGCTGATACTCTTCTGATATTGAGCTCGGGGGGCTGTTACTGATCTGATATTGAGCTCGAGGGGCTGTTACTATTCTGATATTGAGCCCAAAGGGCTGGCACTGTTCTGATATTGAGCCCGAGGGGTTGGTTCTGTTGATATTATGCCCGATGGGCGGTTTGTTGTACATGTTTTGTCCGAGGGGCTGTTTACATTTTCATCATTTTGTTACTCACTTGTAAACTACTTTCTTTACTTGTTGGAAAAAGAGATTTTCACTTGATTTCTCATAGCTTTACTATTTAAAGTGATTTTACTGCTTTTGTATAGAATGCTTTGTGCCTTTACGTGTTTTCTTGCTTTCAGCCATTATTTATATTTATTACTCACTGGTCGGAGTACTCACATTACTCCTTGTACCGTGTGTGCAGATTCAGGCATAGCAGATTTCCACTCCTGAGAGTTGATCCTTCCAGTCTTGGCGGTGTTTCAGAGACTACGAGATAGCTGTTGGCGTCCGCAGCCCCCGTGCCTTCCCTATCTTATCATTTCCATGTTATTCGAACTATTATATCGAATTTCGTATTTATTAGACTTGTATCAGGATTCATTAGTTGCTCATGACTTGTGACACCCCGGTTAGGGCTGTGTCGGGCTGGATTTCCGCATTTCTTATTCATACTTTCCGCTATTTGGTACTATTAAACCATATTTATACTATAATTATGTTAAATTACTGCTTTAAAGGATGAGTTGGGTTAGACTGGCTGGCCTTGTCTTCACGAGAGGCACCATCACGACCAGGGTCAGGATTTTGGGTTGTTACAAGTTGGTATCAGAGCCTAGGTTACATAGGTCTCGCGAGTCATGAGTAGGTTTAGTAGAGTCTCGCGGATCAGTACGGAGACGTCTGTATTTATCCTTGAGAGGCTGCAGAACCTTTAGGAAAAATTTCACATTCTTGAATTCTTATCGTGCTTCCTTGATTCAGCTTGAGATGTAACTCTTTGAATTCCTTCCATGCGTTCGTATGCGCATATGAGTGCTCGGTATCTGCTGTGCATCGACAGCTTGCGATTCCCTGGATGAGGTGCGAGATGTGATTTCTATGTGTGATGTTGGGCCAGTCTCGAGGATTTGAGGCCAGGTTTTGTCTGTGGATTGAGTACTGAGATTTCGATTGTGTGAGCACGTGCATTTTGGACTTATATGTCCGTTTGTGTCCTTATTGGTGGGATTTATGACTGGATGACTAGGGGTGAGTATGATTTGATTGCGAGATGTGTTCAAATTGTTCGAATGTGACGGGAAGAGTTTGCTGAGGATGTAGCAAGGATTATTGGATGTTTGACTTCTGTCTTGAGTTGGCATATGGCCTCGAGCTATGGGTGTATTGAAGGACCTCTCGTGTAGTTTAGTTGTGGAGCGGAGTAAATCTTCGTGTTGTGTTATTAGTTCAAACTCATAGGGGGGTTAAGTGATTGTGTAATAGTTATGATTATGAAAGAGTATAGAGAGATACCGGTTTGAGGCTAAGCAAGTGGATTATCTTCTGCGGGATGTTCTAAAGTTTGTGCGATCCTTTTATTGTTGGTTGGCAG